TGAAACGAGGCAAACAGGTAAAACAAGACCCAGGCAAGAATCACATTGTAGTATATAGAGATCCAGACAAGGACTGCTATACTTGCATAACCAATACCTAACAAAAAATGTCCGTTAGTAAAGTTAGGCCAAGTTCAAACGTCGAACCTTTCATGTACCAAACCTAATCCCTTTAATTACGTACATGAAGAGATGAACGTTTGAATCAATTAGGACCGACTTATCTATTTTGGGTCGAACCATGAATTAAAATCGAGTGGCTCACATGGAAATTTCGACTGTGGATGGAGTTGTCTCCCTCGCAGCTGTTTATTAACAACAACAACAATAAGCTTTATTTGCATGACCATAACAAAGTATTACAGTATTGCAAAAGCTACTTGAAATTAATCATTGATTCCTTGTAAATTAAATATTTAAAATAATAATTTGAAGCTTATTATTCATTGTTTATTTCTAAACATCAGTAGGACTAATTATTCCGGAGATAAGTTTGTCTCTCAATTCAAAGCAAGTTGATATAAATGAAATTAACTGGATGTTAATAAAATAGTCAGTAGAATTCATCAGATGTGATAATAAGGACTCATGTGATTGTAGTCGTAGAAACGGTATTTTAGGATCTAGTTTAGAGAAGAACATATCTCTTATGGAAGAAAAACTTGGATAATCTAATAAAAAGTGAGTTTCATCTTCAATTCTGTTACAATTGCAGAGATTGCATAACCTTTCGTCACGTGGTATATTGTCGTATCTGCCTGTCTTAATCCTAAGTTTGTGACTGCTTATTCTCAGTTTCACTAATGTTTTCCTAGAAGGGTTATTGGGTGTCACGCAACGCACGTGGCTACTAGGAGGACTATTGATGGAGCGACTTCGTTCCAGAGGCCCCCGGGGGGGGCACTCGGGTATTTTTTGGGTGGGTATGTGCCGCCAGGGACTCGAAATTGGCACCCCGTTCTGAAGAAAAAAAATTCCCCTAAAATTGATACCCCGTTCTAGAAATGGGCCAATTTTTTATACCCCGTTCTAGAATTCGCCCTAAAACTGATACCCCGTTCTAGAAATGGGCCAATTTCTTATACTCCGTTGTAGGGTGCAACAAGATTACAACAGTTTGCTTGTTAACGCATTGAACCGTATTTTTAAAAGCAATTTGTCCTTGAATAATTTCAAATGGCTGCTTACAAAACTGGAGCTTTCGTGCGTTCGAAATATTATACCCCGTTCTAGAAAACGCCTCTAAAATGGAAACCCCGTTCTAAATCAGGAGCTTCAAAATCACGACCCCGTTGTGCGGCACATACCCATATAGGTATTGTATGGGAGTACTCCCCCGGGAAAACGCCGAACTTCTCAGATGACAAACCTAATGCAAAAAATACTATAATTAATTTTCACTGGTAAGCATTATTGACCACTGTACAGACTGCACATCTTAAGAATGAACTGAGTTCCGACTATGAGAGTTGCACGTCTGAATCAGCCGTGGAACTTGTGTCATTTGGGTCCATCTAAATAGGTATTAAGTTTGGTACATGAAAAGTTCGACCTTTGAACTGGGCTTTAGGGACCTATTCAGACACACTGTTGAGACCGACGGTGATGAAAGACAGGTATTCATTTTGTTTTATCAAATCAGTTTGGTCAAGTGGATTGTGTGGTCTCCAAGCCGATTAATGCCCATTTTCTGGCGGGTTTTATTCAGGAACCAATATGATGTTTTTTTTAAAAGGATATATGCTTGGAGAGAAAGACCAAAACGGTTCCACTAAAACCCAGGAAATGGGCATCAATAGGCTCGAGGACCACCTAAAGAAAATACAGGTCCCAGTTGTTCAAAAGGTGGATAACGGTATCCACTGGATAAAACTCTATCTAGTAGATAACGCAGTTGGTTAGTCCTAATACTTATCACTAATCTTATAATTATCCACTGTGTAGTGATTTATCCGGTGGATAGCGCAATCCAGCGTTTGAACAACCTGGCCCAGATAACTTAAGCAATATATAGATTTAGCCACGGCTAAAAGCGAAGCTCCCATTGAAAAGTTAAGTGATTTTGGAGGGAAACAAATAGCCTTATATGCACACCCAAAAAGTTGTACGGTCAAATTTAAGAGCAATAATGGCTCTTGATCACAGTAGATAAGGCGTGGAAAACAAATCAGGCCGAATTTTTTGCGATCGACAAGTTTACAAATTCTTGCCAATAAATCTGGGTGCGTGCAAACCAATGTTTTATTTTTTTTTTTGATACACCACATCTGAGGAGAAAGAGTACTATGAGGCGCTGTTTTTATCATACAGACCTCGTACAAAATGCAGTATTTCACAATTTTTCAAAACAAATTGCATTCACTCAATATTCAGGACCATCGAAGCATGCGTGGACTTTTAATTAGCGAAACCGTTCAAAAAATTTCCAAAATCACCTATACGGCCAGCCGGTTCTAACTTTTGATAAGCGCTAAATTTGCGAAGAAATTTTAAAAGAGTTACGCTTCAACGTGATAAAGAATTCATTGAGTCTATTTTTTATTCATGGTTTTATAACGATGTGTAACCTTAAAAAGCGTTTGATACGCTCGGCATTTTGAGTACTCCTGCAAGCGATGTTTATGAACGCCTGAAAACAAACGGCAAAGCGATGAAAATTACACTTTTGAGACTACCAACAATCAATAAAGAAATATAAAAAAAAAAAAAAAATTGTATTTACTGGTTAATTTTCAACCCTTTCAGCTGAGCAGTGTTTCTTTCAATGAAACAATACGATGCTGGCGCAAGGACTTGAAGCATCGCCTTGCAGGTAAGACCTCAGGCCATTACTTTACCTGCTCACACAGGCTTAAGTAGCAGCGGCGTAGAAAACTTTCAGGTATAGCCTGTGTACGGCCGTCCCCTTCCCACGGGAAAAAATTCCTTGATGAAATCAGTGCCCCATTCCCGATTTTTCTCCTGAGGGGAGGGGGCAGTTGTACACGGTCTATTTGAGGCATGATAGTATACTGAGTATTTATTTGTACTTACTCCCAGTATTCCTGGCTTGCCGATACTCGCTTTGCTACATTTGCTACCGTTAGATTAAAAAGAGTGGTAGCATTTGCAAATGTGTTATTCAGCGTTCCATCATTGTCACTCTTCTCAGCATAATCCACACAGTTGGGAGTGTTCCATTCGTTGTTGCAGTGGGACCAAGGAAGTGTCGATTGAAACGAGGCAAACAGGTAAAACAAGACCCAGGCAAGAATCACATTGTAGTATATAGAGATCCAGACAAGGACTGCTATACTTGCATAACCAATACCTAACAAAAAATGTCCGTTAGTAAAGTTAGGCCAAGTTCAAACGTCGAACCTTTCATGTACCAAACCTAATCCCTTTAATTACGTACATGAAAAGATGAACGTTTGAATCAATTAGGACCGACTTATCTATTTTGGGTCGAACCATGAATTAAAATCGAGTGGCTCACATGGAAATTTCGACTGTGGATGGAGTTGTCTCCCTCGCAGCTGTTTATTAACAACAACAACAATAAGCTTTATTTGCATGACCATAACAAAGTATTACAGTATTGCAAAAGCTACTTGAAATTAATCATTGATTCCTTGTAAATTAAATATTTAAAATAATAATTTGAAGCTTATTATTCATTGTTTATTTCTAACCATCAGTAGGACTAATTATTCCGGAGATAAGTTTGTCTCTCAATTCAAAGCAAGTTGATATAAATGAAATTAACTGGATGTTAATAAAATAGTCAGTAGAATTCATCAGATGTGATAATAAGGACTCATGTGATTGTAGTCGTAATCCGAAATCGGATTATCGGCTTTGACAAGCGACGCATTTCTCAACCAAAAACCCAATAAACAAACCAGCCATGAATAAGAGAACACTCTTGATAGCAGCTGTATTTCATTTTGTACATCCAGTGGAAAAATACGGTTAAAAACATGACAAGTTGACTCAAAACTCTGTCAGCTTCAGCTGTCAAAGTAAACAACTTTCAAGATGCTGCATAAATTTGGACGTGGAGCGTGACCAACACGTGACCATGGTAAGAAAAGGTCTTCCCCGCCGGTATTTTAAAAAAACTGGCTGAATTTTTGCGTCTGAGGTAAGTTTGATAGTGCGGGGCGATACTGACATAAACACAACATATTTGATATGAATTTAAAAAAAAAGTAAACGTGAGCCTGCAATCATTTGAAAACGAATAAATTGTCAGCGGATAACTTCAAAAAAATACTCGACCTTGATGGGTCGACACCTGAGCCCGCGATACGGAAAGGTGATACCGGTCAGCGGATACCCTGTTTTGACAGTTGTCAATTGAGAACAACATTGATGTGCAATCAGCTTCCTCCTGGGCTCCCAAAGCGAGAAAGTGTGAGAGTAAACATTGGTATGCCTGTGGTGCGGACGGACGGTCGGTCGGTCGGTCGGTCGGTCACGTGATTACCAAATTTTCTTGGATGGGTAGATTACCTTAGCTATGGGGCTCCCCCCACGCACGCGCTTCGCGCGCGCGTGGAGCTCTGCTATTAAAAAAAGCTGTTTGTCTCATTTAGCGGTTGTTATATACGTAGGTCACAGAAACAAGTTATTTTTTTCCAATACAAATCCTTATAGCGGTCCTTATATTTGGAAGTGATCGAAGGTTACGCAACATTGCCAACGCTCATATTTCAAAGTTGAGATAATAGTAGTTAGTGGTTAAGTAATTATCTTGTCGATTTGGCACATATAACGGGCATATCTCACCTTTAACAAGTGGACATATGTTCCATGCTGTAATTCCTCCTTGGCTCAAAAACTGGCCCAATCCAATTTCCAGAATGTTGACTGGCACTGCAGCCACAACCAGGCAAATGAAGTAGGGAATGAGAAAGCAACCTGCCGATTAAAATCCGGGGTTAATCCGGTAAAACCAAAAAGGTTTGTGTTCCAAATCAAAATATGGGCGCAAGAAAGAACCTGCAGCTGTGTCTGATTATCAGGTCACTTTTTTTGAGTCTTGCACTTCTCGGTTTATTTAAGTGTCTGGTCTTGAGTATTTAGCTCTTGCAGACTTATCGATAGCTGTGCATGGTAAAAGCCGTAAAAGGACACGTGTAGCTTACATACCTCCACCATTCTTGAAACACAGGTAGGAAAACCGCCATAAGTTACCTAGGCCTATTGCCCACCCCACCAAAGCCAGAACAAAATCACACTTTGAAGACCAAACCTCTCGCTCGTGTACAGCCTCGACCATTTTGAACTGACTTCGGTTCTATCTGAAAATGCACACAAGAAGGAACAAAACAATTAAATATGCTTTATTGAACAAGCTTTCTCAGTCAAAATGACTGGCTATAGGTTACGTTCCGTCTTTTTTAGGAGGGTTTTACTAAAATCCATAAAAACACACGATAAAAGGAGATTGAATCGTGTCCAGCCATCATAACAGAACAAGCCTTGGTTGTTAAGGATTTATCATAATTTGCCGAAAGAAAATATTTTTTTGTGAGAAAAAACGCAGGAGATCCCCCGAGTTGGCAACAAAGGCCCATCTTTTCTGCGAGTGGTTCGGGGAACTTTCATTTGCTCCCTCGAGGAGCCAGCCAGGGATAAAATAAAAGAGAGGTTAGAATCACGGTCACGGCCCGTTTAATACCAAACGTTAATTTTCATTTCACGAACATGTTTTATCATTGCTTCTCGTTTACTGCTCATTATATCTACCGTAAATTCTCTATTAAGCTCCCAGCTTTCTTAAGTCCCCCTCCCCCTTATTATCCTTAACTGATAAATGACAGACTGTATTAGTCAATCACGACTGCAAAAGGACGCGTTGACTGATCTGGGATGATGTATTTACCAACTGGAACTTCGGATTTGTGTTATAGTTCTTTATTGCCGGAGAACTGATACCACCGTCTTTGCTAAACTGGATAACCACTACCTCTCAAATGAGCCCCCGTCTTTATCAAGCCCCCCCGCCCCTCAAATGTGTCTGAAATGAATAAGCTCCCCCTGGGGGGGCTTAATAGACGATTTACGGTATACAAGAATTATCATTCTAAAGCCAGCTCCATTCATTTCCTACTATGACATTTTTATGATCTGTCTGATTCTTTTGAAGCTCTTAAATGTTGAACTCGCAAGGAGAAGAAAATTGACACTGATCTGGGACCAAAGCAGATACTAGTTAATCCTGGAAATCACAATTTTTTTCCTGAGATGATCCATGCACCATTGAGAGAAAAGCTTGCGAGAGCACCAGAGAAAATGAGAGAAATTATCTCCATCCGGCAATGGGAAAAGGCTTGATCCTTTATCAAATTCTCGCCACTAATTAGTCGAGCTTGCTTTAGCAGAGCGAGACTCTAAAAATGCAGGCGTTTGCTTTGTTTTCCTTTTTTCCGTGTGGGATATAAATTGTAGGCCAGGCGTTCCTAGCGTAGTCTGCTACACAGCCGTTTTTAGTGTCGTCACGCAACGCGGAGGAGCGTTGCGTGACGACACTAAAAACGGCTGTGTAGCAGACTATTCCTAGCGGAGACCGTGGAAACAGGGGATGAAAATCGTGACGACTTTCATTGTAAGCAAATGAGTCTTGTCATGAGCATTTAGTTTATTTTTGGCGTTGACTGAAATGACGCATGTAAGTTTGACAATGATGAATAAATAAATAAATAAATAAATAAATAAAATAACGATTTGCAGGTAGCACATCCACATAGTGGTTCTTCGTGATGTAATTTTCCCCGAACCGAGGCCCTTGATTTTCGTGTAATTACGCACGACATGCACGCTTATTAAAAGGTAAATACCCCGAGTAGGATGAGAAAATGTTATAGCGGGGAAATCCTGTATTGTAGTGTATTGAGGCGTTATGTTTCTCAGAATATTGTCGCAATTACTGGGACTCTAGGGTTAAATAGATTCACTTTGTTGTATGTATCTAATTGATAGATTTTCGCAGTTGTTAAGAAGTGAAGTCGTGTTACACTTTATAAATACTTGAGATATCAAGTATTTACTACTGGAAGCAACTTCAACTACCTGTCTAAGAATTGAGTTCCACTGTCGCGTATTTTTTACGTGCGTACGAGCGTAAAATTAACGTTCAAAAATAATATAGAGGCAATGTATGAAAGGTCGCACGTAGGCGTAAAAGTAGAACCTCGCTCATCTTCACGTTTAATCTCAACACTTAATTTCTTGCGTCTATTTTATCTGCGTGCTTTAACGTGCGTAGCCAAAAACTCGTCAGTGGAAATCCACCCTAACGTTACGTATGCGTCACGGATGTGTTTATACGGGTTGCTTTGTACTTGACTATCTCGCACTCTACTTGCAGTACTTCATGTCCATAAAATAGAAATCTCATATCGAGCTTTTCCGGAACGGGTCGGTCCATGAATTCTATTGCTTGAAAGCTTTGATTACTTTGGAACAAGTGATTACTTCAGTGGTCGAAAAAAAGAATAATCATAATGAGCAAAACTTCGAGGCTTATTGGAAAATTAGGATCAAGGATCGAGGATTGGTGATAGAGAATCAGGCCATCGGGGATCCGTTAAGGATCGAACCAAGGTGATGTGGGCCGCAGACTGTAGATAAATTTCACAGAACATAATCCCGTTGGCTGTACTGAACGCAAAATTCAAGTAAACTTCTCCGTGTCTGACTGAGTCAGTGATTGTTTTTGACGAGAAAGTGAAATTTTCCTGGAAAATGAAACGCTTCATCCCATACTGTGATAAAGTGCATGTTGTGTACAACTCTAAACATTTACTCTGAGGCTGTAGGGAGATATTAAAAGCAGATAATAGGCAGCTATGGAAAATGTAATTACTTTTACGCGATTTTGATATCTTACAAAACGGACAACAAATTTAGCAGGAATACGCGTGAACTGAATTAGCTGTCTGTTGTATAAGGTTCTGCTAAACTTACACATTTTTCCAGTGCTGAACATGTACTGTACCGAGCCGTATCTCTCGGATATCTCGGTCCGCTACAGAGAGGCAATATATATTTATACTGACAGAGTCATGGACTCCTGATACTGATAAAAATCGTCGTTCAATTTTTTGAGTGTAAAAATTCCTGAAAGAGTTCTCCTCAATGGAGCAATATCAACATGTAGAAGGTTTTCTAAGGTTTCACACCGGTGTGAAGCTGAGATGTGCGGCTTGTCTCTCCTTGCAATTTCTACGTTTTGAGTATTTACATTATGACATATAACACTCGTTTTGTATTCCAAACGAAAAAGTTGTGTAACAGCACTGGCGCCTTTGACAACAAAACTTATCTCCAAGCAAGGGAGACTCACCGCTGCTAAGAGCGTTCTTGTTCTTTACGGGAATGCATGGAGATCGAGCCTGGAGAATTTGAAAAGAGCTAACTGCCTCCCGCAATAAATGTATGCAGATTTCTGCTTCTACTTTTTTTTAACTGTTCTTTTTTTGTTAAAATTCAAATTAAAGAGAAGCCTTTGAATTTACTCTCAATAGTCATCTTGAGCAAAGATCAACACAGGTAAGAACATAGCAAGGGCATAACTAATCGTACGCCAATATGCACGCGCCTATTTAAGAATAACCAGCAACAAAAATAAAACCAGAAAAAACAAATGAAAACAAGGCGGAGGAAATTTACGAAGGTAAGCAATAGCTGAAAAATTTGTATAATCATTTCTTACTCGGTGGTTGTGACATCGGCATTCAGAACGTCCATAAGGATGTGGTTTCCAGAGATACTCACTGTTCCAAATGCACCCATTCTGTCTACTAACTTGCTGCCATACCCACTGGCTTTGATTATGTATGGTGAGGTAATCAGCCTTTTAACTCGGAAGACGGTGTCCTCTTTGAGTGTGGCAATATCAGGGAAAACACGGCATTATAACTGGAAAATGTTTTGAACGCATTTCGGCACCCAACGACCGAATGTTTCCAACTACGTCATACTGAAGTGTCTCAAATGGTCTTCTTTATGCTTTAGAAGCCTGTTTAGTTAAATAACTATTTATCTGCTCGGATGTCTTAAGGGAATGTTGGTTGTCTCATTCCAAACTGTTATAAGCTACCCGGATGAACATGGAGTAACCGCTCTTTCATTGGACAATTCTAGAGAACGTTTTGTCACGCTCTGTGCTGAAATTTTCAGCAGACTTTTTTAATTATATCTTGTAACAAATTAAATGTGACTGACATATGACCTAACCTTAGAAAACCTATCAATTAAGCTACGAAAATCATAGGCAAGAAATTCTTAGGCTTTCCCGAGCTTAAAAAATTTATAGTCAATGTGTGCTCCTTTGGACAGTTATTTTACAGAAAAAGAGTCATTTGGTGCCCTCATTCTTCCAGAACCGAAAGCAAATGACCCTGTCGTATCTATAGAAACGAATCGACTGAAAGCACAGCAGAGAAGATTAACAAATAATTAAAAAAAAACAACTGAAAAATTCATCATATTTGACCCGTACCTAAGAGCTATACCACAGTATTGGACAGAAACTTATCACAGCCTGTCTCCGCCAATTTGTTTTCCAATCTCAGCGCTTAATACCGCTTAGTCACACAGAAAGGTGTTTCCGCTAAACGTTCATGATTGGTTATCCGCGAAGTAAAACCCCCAAGAAAATTTCACATCGTACACGAGACAGGGGCACCCGCCGAATGTTTCCAAATACGCCAGAAATGTGTCAAATGATTTTCTCTGTGCTTTAGAAGCCTGTTTGGCCGTAATACGTAGACTATTATCTTGATATTAAAATGTGAATAACACAACGTCCGAAAATTGTAGTTAAGCTATTAGAAAACCTTCGAATATTTTAGACGTATGGAACGGTTATCCAGAAATTTTTAGCTTTTCTCAAGCTTTAGAAATTTTTAGGCAATATTTGTTCCTTCACACTGTTATTTTACAGAAAAACGTCGCCGAGTGCCCGTGACGAGAAAAGCATGTGAGAGTTATCGGAAGGGACGTGCTTCCACGGGACTTCAGTAACACTAGTTTGTGCTACGACAGTGTCTTTTTTTAGTATGAAGTATGGATGTCAGTGAACCTTGAAACCGTGTTGTAAATAGCTATTTGACGAATGATCATATATCGTGATGGGGGGAGGGGGTTTGGGGCGTAGACTCGGTCATTAAGTTCTCTGATTGTCGAGGATGCTCGGTAGAAACACAAGAGGCATTTTTCTCCGGTTTATTTCTGACTCCCTGAATTGCTTTCTTAACGAAGAATTCTCTTTTC